ATGTGCTAGGTAGCAATCTTCATTGTTTCCTGTCTCAGGACCTTGTCCTTCCTCAACTCATGGCCTTATTATTGAGAGAGAGAGAGAGAGAGAGAGAGAGAGAGAGAGAGAGAGAGAGAAATTCTCCTGTGCTTGTTTTGATGATGCACAGCCTATCACACATGTCCAGCGCAGGCAGTAACACAATCTAGGTCTCAGGAATCCCTTTTGGATGTTTAAATCACAGGGTAGAAAAGCACAGTCCCTGGAGGGCCCTGGCTGCCGTGCACTGGAACTCCCAGCAATATTGGGAGTATTTGTTCCAATGGGGATATGTATGTCTATCTGCTAACAAAAAGGAAAAGTGTTGGCAGCATATGAGAGACGGAGGTAAATAATAGGTAGTGCCCTCTGCCAGTGATCAATGTACAGAGCAGCCCTCCCTCTCTACCTTTCGTGCTTTGTGGGTCTGTGACTATTAAAATTATGTTTGAATGTCTGAAATTTGCTCAGTGTTGTGCTGTAATGCTTGTATTCCCAGCAACTGGGAGGCAGAGACAGATGCTCAGATGTGAGGCTAACCTAGGCTATAGTGCATTCAAGGTCAGCAAGGTTACAGTATGAGACCTGTTTCAAAAACAACAACAACAACAAAAAACAATAAACAATAAGACCCTGAAAATATAAGAACTATAAGAAATGTAACTCATACATTAACCAAATGTACAAAACAAAAAGTTTCATATTGACAGTTTTTGTTAATGTATAGTTAAATGAAATTTCTATCGAACTGTCAACAGAGAAACATTCACAAATAATTAATGCTGAAACTTTAAAAGACATTTGAAATAAAATACTAACTTTGTTTTCCATATCTATCTGGGTATCAGGGCAAGAGCTATACACAGCTCAATCTGCATTCTGAGCCTTGAAGAAAAGGAAGGCTGGGGCACAAAAGGGAGGAGAGTAGACAGTGAAGGGGAGGAATCAAACTTCTTGTTCTTTTTTTTAAGTTTTCAAAGTCTTTCAAACTGTTTTAAAATGTGTCATTCTAATGAATACAAAGAAAATGAGTTGAATGAAACTATTTAGTTGAAGATAAAAAAATAAAATTTCTTTTTAGCTACAGAAATACCCATAGAGTTTTTTAAGTTTCTTTATGTGTGCCTGTGTGCATGTAAGTATACATGTGTCTTGTGTGCATATAAGAGCAAGTGTGGCTGGGTGGTGGTGGTTGTGCACGCCTTTAATCCCAGCACTCAGGAGGCAGAGGCAGGTGGACGTTTGTGAGCTCAAGGCCAGCCTGGTCTACTGAGCAAGTTCCAGGACAGCCAGGGCCACACAGAAGAACCCTGTGTCAAAAAAACAAACAAATAAAAAGAGCGAGTGTGTGTGCGCGTGCTGGCTTGAGCACAGGCTGGAGACTGCACCAGGAGTTCTCCTCCATCACTCTCTTCCCTTAACCTGGAGCTTGGGTTTCTGAGCTAGCCAAGAAGACAGCAAGCTCCAGCGAGCCTTCTGTCTCCACCCCTCAGTGTTCAATTACAGGTGTGCACAGGCCACCTGATCTGTGCTGAGATCCAAGCTCTGGTCCTCATGATTTCGCAGTAAGCATGCTTAATGACTAAATCATCTCTCCAGCTCCCTGATTGGGGGATATTACAAAGAGCAAATACTTGGAGTAGAAACTCCCAGTAATAAAATTTGTAGCCCTTCACAAGACAGCCAGAATTTTTTCCATTTAGGAAGTCATCTGCATCTTTTATTTTTGGCTAATATAGCATTATTTTTTGACAACTCTAGCCAAAACCATTCACATATGCAACGCCTACTAGAAAAGGTAGAAGATGAGGCCGTAGCTCTGTTGGAAGAGTGCCTGCCAGGATGTTTGAGGCCCTGGTTTTGGTTTCCAGGACCACACAACAGATGTGGAAGTGCAGGCACTCAAAAGGTAGATCAAGGCCAGCCTAGAAAACATGAGACTTTATCTCAAAATAGTAAACTGATTAAAGAAAAGAAACCAAATTTCTTAAAATGTTCTATTTTTAAAATACTTATTATTTATTTATTTACTTTTCTGTACAAGTGCTCCGTCTGCATGTATGTCTACATTACAGAAGAGGGCATCAGATCTCATTATAGATGGCTGTAACCCACTATGTAGTTTTTGGAAACTGAACTCAAGACCTCTGTAAAAGCAGTCACTGCTCTTAACCACTGAGTCATCTCTCTAGCCCCAATGATTTCCTATTTAATTTTTTTTTTATTTGCAGTACACACTATTTGTCTAATCTGGTCTAATCTTTGTGCTGAGTTCCACAAGAAAACCGCTTATCTCTGGAGAGCAGCACCTGCCCCGGTTGCACCAGACTCCATGTTGGGGAAAGACATGCTGGGTTCTTGGCTTTCACAGATTGGAAACACAGGACTGACTACACGACTCCAGAGCAGGAATAAAAAGTGCTGAGTCTTGAGGAAGTGAAGATACCACCTGCAATTTAGACTCCTTGGTTACCGGAGACACAGAATGCTACATGTATGAACTATTGTCATCCAGGGGACATCTCACTATGTTCTGCAGGATGTATATAAAATCCCCCAGAATCCTAATGGTATGATGTCAGGGAAGGGCATCCTGTGCCCAAGTGGCTTCTCTTGAGCTGTGCTTCTCCAAGCTGCACAGCCCAGTGGTTGCCATGGATACACTATGATATCTGCTCTAGGACTAATTTCACATAGACCAAGGTGCCAGCTGAAATACTGACTTTTTAAGTCTTAATCTGGAATATATTCTGCCTGAACCAGCTCTAACAAAATGGAAGACATCATTTTATGACTGACACTGATAACCGGGACTTGGGGGTAATATAGCAAGCCTAAGCCTGTTTGTGACAGTGGCCATGGTTAGTGTGGGTCCACAGTTGAAGGGGCGAGGTCGATCGGTAATTGAAGATCCGCCAGACTAGCTTAATACAAAAGATACAACTTTAATAAACAGAAGGAAAACTTACACCAGAGTCCCAACTGTCTGTTGGGAACACAGGAGCCAAGCGAGAAAGTGGGGAAGCATACCCGCTAGGTTTATAGGTAAATTTTTGCCTTAGGGCAACATGCCCCATGGACAGAATGTGATTGGCTGAACTCCCCTATCACACAGTCCCCTCTGTCAATCTTCCCCAAGACCGGGAATCTTCAGAAAGACACTCTCTTTCTGATGACCTCTTGCAGGCGCGCTCAGCCTGGGTCACCGCACTTCTTGCATTTCTCCTGGTACTCCCTAACACTTGGAGCTCTCATGTACCATGATGATGGAGGGGAACAAAACTAGTAGACTATGAGAAGAATTCAGATGAAGCAAACCCTTGATTAATAGGCGATGCTACTAAAGTTAACATAAATTTCCAAGCTGAATTCTTCTAACAACCTGCCCTGTCTTCTAATTTTAAAGTGAGAACATCCTCAACGGAGAGGGCAGGGTTTAAATGTTACGGATATGTATAAGTTGAGGACAGGCAGTCAGCTGCTCTTGGTCCTTGAGGCCATCATTTGTAACCCATTCTCTGTCTTTCTCACTGGGCCTCTTACTCCAATTACCTCTAAATAATAAAAGCAGTTTATTAAATCCTCACATAACCCCCCACAAGGCAAATGTCATCATTGACCCCACAGATTAAAGAACTGAAACATGTCAGTCAAAAGCTGGATCCAAACGCAGGAAGAACGACTTAAAACACTGTGCCGCGCAACACCTTCTACGTGGCTCTGCTTACACCGCAAGGCTGTCTCCCTCCCGGAAGGGCTCTGAGGAGGCAGTGGGCAGTGCTCTTACCTGGTCCAGGTCCTGAGTCTCCACAGAGGCAGAGCTGTCTCACCAGGTCACTGATTTCCTCGTCTTTGAGTCCTGTTTCTAGGGTGGCCCTGCTGCTAGCTCCCCGGCTTCCTGCTAAGGCTACTCCCCAAATTGGTCTGATGACAAAAATCACCTGAAGAACTTCCTAAACAGACAGCCTCTCCCGGTCCTATTCTCGGAGACTCTGATTCATCGAGTCTGACATGGTCCCAGAAATGTGTATTTTTAACAAGCGCCCCAGGGGATTCTTCTCTTCTGCGGGTTTGAGAAACGCTGCTCTGGGAGTTTTAGCCAATGGGAACAACCACGACTGCCTTCGGGATTATATACTGAATCAAATTTTACCAGGAAGATCGCATTTCTATAGCTGCATTAATCCAAAGTGCTTAATACATATGGCACAAAGTGGTTTTGGTTTTTTCCAGGGAGGATGGGATCTCATGCTGGGTGAATTGGGATGTCTGTCTGTGTGTTTTTTGTCTCCTTTTCAAGTGATGACTGTTGAAAGAATTCTTTAATGGCTGTGCCCGTGCGGGAGTTTCTGTATGTGCTCTGGTCATGGAACAGCTTAAATCAAATAGAAAGTATGTCATCCAGTACAGCTCTTTTAAGTCTGCCTATGAGAACTGTGAACAAGAGAAAATTAAATAAAAAGGAGAAAAGAGTTTATAGAGTTTTCTTTCCTTGAAGGACCCTAAAGCAAATTCTTTGTATAACTAAGACTGAAGGACTTGGGCTTTTCAACTTAAATGCTTATGAACCATGCACAGAATGGCTATTTTATAAGAGATTAATTTAATTTATAGACTGTAATCAGATGTAGAAATGATCTTTGATATTTACAAAATCAAATATAAAATTGTTGAAACTTATGACTAGTAAATTGTGCTTAATGTTAATAAAGACAAGCCTAATGCGCCAACACACTGCCTGCTGCTTGTCACAGGGCATTTCCCCGGTGCACCTGTCAGGGCTGAACGACAACAGCTACACTGAGTCAGAAGGGGGAGGATAAGAACAGAAAATGATATTAAGAGACTGACTGTAAGTGGGGTTAAGAACGCCAGCCTTCCTGCCCAGTGGGACACTCTGCCCAAGCCCTGTTTCTGAGAGGGCAGTGGCATCAGGGACAGAAGTCTGTCTCCAGTTACAAGATACAAGACATACCTACCTCTTGGTGGGAGTGGGCACTCCAGAGGACATGTGGCTAACCACGGTGTCGTTCATATTAGTCAGAGGACGAGGAGGACTGAAAGAAAAGATATTCACATTGCATTAGTAGTTACCAGGCCTGGGGGAAACAAAAGAAGAATGCAGGCAAAGGACCGGCTGTGGTCCCTAACACATGCAGGGTGACGGCTGTGGGCTCAGAAATAGATTTTAAAAAAAAAAGATTTATCTATTTATTTATTGTGTGTACAACATTCTGCCTCCATGTATGCCCACACACCAGAAGAGGGCACCAGATCTCATTACAGATGGTTGTGAGCCACCATGTGGTTGCTGGGAATTGAACTCATGACCTCTGGAAGAGCAGCCAGTGCTCTTAACCACTGAACCATTTCTCCAGCCCCCAGAAATAGATTCTTAAGGCTTACATAAACCAACAAGATGAGCTGTCACTCAAAGGCCACAGTGCCAGAGCTGTGGCAAACCAGGGAGACAACAGATTATGAAGACATTACTTTGGAGAAGGGTGTATTGGTATATCCTGGGATTTCAGGCCAGCCTGGGCCACAGCGAGCCGACTACCTCACCTCCCAACACATACAAAAGGGAAAAGGCCTATTCGGGGGTGGAACTGCTTGCTCCTGCTTCACAGTTTTCATACAAAAGAGTAACAATCCTTTCACTTGCTTATTATGCTCATTCTTTTGGCGGGGGTGGCACCCTGGGAATTGAATCCCATGCCTTGAATATCCTGGGCAAGTGCCGTATCAGCTGTCATCCATTCTGACTTGTTTTTAGTGTTTTTGTTTGCTTTTATGAGATAGAGTCTCATCATGGAGCTCAGGCTGGCCTCAAAATGGAAACCCTTCTACCTCGGCAGTCTGAGTGGCTGGCATATGCCACCAAGTCAGTCCGTGCCACTTACTCTTAATTAATTTTAATCTGTTTTTTCTCTGCCTTTAAAAAAATTACATGTGTGTGTCTATGTGTGTAGTATGGGGGTGGGCATAGGGTCTTATACCCATTGAGCCACCCTTCTAGAATTCATGTCCAGATTAAAAACAGGTCACAGTGTTCACATGCTACTTTCTCTGAGATTTAGTAAGTTACAGCTCATTGTTCAGCTATATTCAATTCACAAGTGTGTTATCAAAATATTTATTTATTTATTTTTTATTTTTTCCAAGACAGGAAGTCATGTAGCCCAGGCTGGCATCAAACTTGCTAGACTGCCTAGGGTGACTCTGAACTCGTCCTGATCATCTGCCTACTACTCCAAAGTGTCTGATTCTTAAATACTAAATAAAAAATAATATTCTGCTCATGCCTGGTATTATGTCCTGGTCAAGAGCCCATGGTTAGAGAGATCATAGGTCATGTGGAAAAACCTATTACTGTTGCTTTGCTAAATGGATATACTTTGAGCTGCCTTCTAAACACATCTATACCAAAAGAGTCTTTGTCAGAGAAGCTCAGTCAGTAGAGCATGGGACTCTTAATCTCAGGGTTGTGGGTTCAAGCCCCACGTTGGGCGCCATTTGTAGTAAAAGGAGCAGCAGGCTGCATCCCACCACCTGGCTAGCTTTACCCGAAATAATTACACGGGAAACTATATTCATTTAAACACTGCCAGGCTCGTTATCTGTAGCCTCTTATTGGCTAACTCTTACATATTGATTCAACCCATTTCTAATAATCCGTATGTCACCACGAGGTCGTGGCTTACCGGGAAAATTCTAACCCACCTCCATCTCGGAGAGGAGAGCCATGGCGTCTGCCTGCCTCTGCTCTCTTTCTCCCACAATTCTGTTCTGTCTACTCCACCCACCTAAGGACTGGCCTATCAAAAAGACCAAGGCAGTCTCTTTATTAACCAATGAAAGTAACACATAGACAGAAGACCCTCCTCCATCATCTATACCTAAAGAGCCTTTGTCAGAGAAGCTTCTTTTGGCAATGGCCAGCAATTAATGGAAAAACTCCAAACTCCAAGTACTGAGAGTGCGTAACTGCTGAGAGCTGGCTCCTGAACTGGCATCTGGATCACTCCACCCAAGGCTCCAGGAACATTGGAAAAGAGAAAGCAGATGAATCTGCGAGCCAGTGAACAGGGAAGAGTGCTGTGGGACTGTCTTTTGGGCATGAAGTGCTGGTTCACTCACAGCTCATTGCAGCTGTGGTCTCCTGAACAAGACCTGCACAGAATTAGGCCTGTCAGCATTTTCTCATGCATGGGAGAGGGGCTCAGGTTCACGAGGTTCCATTCCTTTCTGAGATGCCACTGCGGCAGTTAGTGGCTGTTGGGAAGAGGGGTATCATTGTCTTCAGTGGTATAGCCATTGATAAAGTTATTCAAGCTCCAGGAAGAAATATTCACTTAGTTGCCGGGTCCTCCTTGTCTCTGAGAGAATAGCTTGCACAAAATGGTTTGAAGAAGCTACATTAACACGGCCCTGGTGACTGCAACGGTGCTGCTGCTTTACCACATTGCAGGCTGCACACAGTACATGCAAAGTTTCTGGGGAGTTAGGTCAGGGAGAGCCAGAGGGCTCAGAGGAAAAGAGAGATTCCTCTCTCCACCTACCCATATACCTGCACACTTTCCTTAAACTAATTCCATTCCTGAGGAAGGAACTTTTAAAAAATAATTTCCCATTAAATGGGGGAAATTCAAAATGGAAAAGTGGATGCAAGAAGTAGATTTGGGGCAGAGTCAGGCCTCTGCATTTTTTGTTTGTTTGTGGAGGCAGGATCTCAGGAGATAGTCCAGGTTAGCCTCCTGCTTCACCCTTCCAAGTGCTGTGATAAAAGGCCCGAGTCACAGTGCTTGGCTTGGACTTGGCCTGATAACGTGCCTTCCCAGGCGAGACTTCAATTCTAAGCTATTTGTCTGCCTTCCTGTCTCCAGACGAACATCTAAACCTTCAAGCCTATTAATGCTAATGGCTGCACTGAGTTATAATCAATTAGTCAATTGCTTTAGGTTGACTAACGATGGGAGAGAATGGATAGATTAGCTTACTTTTAGTCCTAAATTTATACTTTGGCCTCTGGGTCTTTTAAATCAGTTGTCCTCTGTGAAACAAGGAGCTAATTCCTATGGAGTAACCAAGTCAGAGGAGCAGCTGTTCACACATGCTGGTCAGGGACAGAGCAGGCTTTGCTTCTCAGTGGATTATTATTAGTGACCCACTTCCAAAACAGTGACATTTCATGTTGCTTTCAGAACTAATGTAGTTACCTGCTTTACTTTAATATTAAAGACACCACTGTATCCATTTTTTTTGTTGACATTCTCAGAGGAAATAAATATAGTAGAAAAAAATTAATTTCTCAAACATGAGTACATGTGATAAAATATCATCATCTGTAGCATCTTGTTTGGTCTGATGCCAGAAAAGTCTTCATATCTCTTGGCAGCCAACTACTTATTAACTTTTCATACATAGAGAAACCTCTTCTCTAAGGTGCAAAGCCAGATACTCACAATTACATCACATTCTGGAAACTTCTCATACCCTGCCCGCAAGACCACATCCTTTCTAGACATCTACTATGTACTAAAGAGACCACGTGACTTCACTGACCAATGAAATCGGCACTTTCAAAGCTCAGAACGGTTCTTAGAATGGGGTCACTGCCAGAGCTGCAGGCCATTGACAAAGCCAACAGTACCAAGGAATTCTTAGAAAATACCTACTGGGGGCTGGAGAAATGACTCAGTGGTTCAGAGCCCTGGCTGCTCTTCCACAAGACCTGGGATCAATCCTAGCACTCACCAGGTGGGTCACAACTGCCTGTAACTCCAGTACGAGGATCTGACCCCCGTCTTCTGACCTCTGCAGGCACCAGGCATGCATGTGGTACACAGACATAAACAGAGACAAAACAGCTATACACACACCATAAAAAATAATAAAGTTTCCTTTTTGTCAATAAGATACCCCCCCCAAATGAACAGATAGAAGCAGATCAATGACATAGGTAGAAGATGAAAATAATTTGCTAGTATTAAAGAAGTTTTTAAAATGTTTGGAGTCTCTCCCTCTCCCTTTCTCTCTCTGTGGGGGAGAGGGGGTGGGGAAGAACACAGAGGTAGATGTACATATATGTGTACAAGTGTGCACACGTGTCCTGCTCTACCATGCTGTCCTTATTCCCTTGAGACAGGATCCCTTACTGGACTGAAGAGTTAGGCTGACAGACAGTAGCCCCAGGGATGGGTGCTCCTGCTCCCACCCTATAGTACTGGGGTTACAGGAGCACGTGTCCCCACCAGCACAGCTTTTTATGTAGGTTCTGAGAGGTCAAACTCAGGTCTCAGATCTGTGCAGCAGGCATTCTTACTCACTGTCATTTCCCAGCCCCTGAGTCTTTTTGACTTTTGTTTGTTTGGAGACAGTCTCGCTATGTAGCACAGGCCTTGCAATCATCCTGACCCAGGCTCCTTTTTGCTAGGAATTTGGGTGGAACCCAGGGCCCTGGGTATAGTAGGCAAGTGCTCTCTCACTGAACTACATCTACTACAGTTGTGGGTCACAGTGTCCAGTGCCTGTCTATTTCTCTTTCTTTTCTTTTTCTTTTTTTTTTGGTTTTTCGAGGCAGGGTTTCTCCAGCCTTGGCTATTCCGGAACTCACCTTGTAGACCAGGCTGGCCTTGAACTCATAGATCCACCTGTCTCTGCCTCCCGAGAGAGCTGGGATTAAAGGCGTGCGCCACCACCATCCCATTATTTGTTTGATTTTTTTTAATGTGAATAATTGTCTGTGCACCACATATGAACCTGGTACCTGAGGAGGTCAGAAGAGGGTGTTGGATCCTTTGAAACTAGAGTTATGGATGGTTGTGAGGCAACATGTGGGTGCTTGGCACCAAACCCAGGTCCCCTAGAAGAGGAACTGGTGCTCTTAACCACTGCACTGAGCATCTCTCCATCTCCTTGCCGCCATTTGTTTGTTTGCTTTGAGACAGGATCTCACTATGTAGATCAGGTTGTTCTAAAACTTGCTCCATAGATCAGGCTAGCCTTGAACCCACAGAAACTCAGAGACTTGCTGCTTCTGCCTTAGTGTTGGGGC